GCTTAAAACAATTTAATAACCGTTCTTTTTCTTTTAAAAATAATTTTTTTCTCTTTGTATTCGCCAAGCATATTATAACCTTTCTTTCAAATAATGGCATTTTCTTTGTCTGTTTTTTAAAATTTTCACAACACAATACACACATTCCCTCCCTTTTCTCCAAACCAGTAGGCGTAAATTAGGCATAATTTGATTTTTTTTGAAAAAAGATTTTTTTCTTTTTACTTTTTTTAAAGTTTGGTGTTTAAGGAATTTATAAACTAAATAATATTTATTAAAAAATAAAAGAGAACACGTGAAGGAAAAAGATTAAAATAAAAGAGTGGGAGTGTAAATATGCGCGGGGATTTAAAAGCTTCTTTAAAAGAATTGAAGAGGGAACACGTGGCAATTATTTAATTTTAATATTTTTTAAAAATTTTGGAGGAGGGGGGACACTTGGTGGTGATGTTTGTTGGTTACCTTTTTTGAACTTCACCTTCTCTAAATATTTTTAAACCCCCCCCTTTCCCCCACCAAAAACCTTAAAATAATTCCAAAAATAATTAATTGTTTGGAAAGACAATTTTACTTTTTTTTCAATTAAAAAAATCATATTTTTGTATTTTGACCTTTTTAACATTTAATTAGGTAACGTGAATATACACAGCACTTTTTTACAATCCCGTGATGTCAATTAATTAGGTTAGAAAGTCCTCCAAGTAAAGGGCAAGTAGTAGGTGACTTTCAAATGACAATGAAAAGGAATATAGACATATATTTATTATTTTTTGTTTTATTTGAAAGAAAAAATTGTCTGTAAAAGCTTTTTTTCATTATTACTTTTCATTGTCAGTACAATTTAATGCCTTTCTAGGACTTTTTCGGTTATGGACAATTCACCGTAATGGACGATTCACCGAAAATTAATTAATTAAGAACAACTTTAGGCAAATATTTTTCCATTTTAAATTCTAAGCTAGCTTTACATTATTCAAAACCTAAACAGTCTTTAACGGTTTTCTATATTTTTTAAAGCCAAAATACGTTCCAATTTTATGTTTTTTGGTGAATTACCTTTTCTGTAGTTTGTCCCCCTCCTCTCCCTTCCCTTCTAATTCTCCAAAATTTAATAAAATATAAAAATTCATCGTTAAATCTCTTTCAAAGGGTTTGCCTTTTTTGTATTTAAATTTGGAAGGTGTTCAAACAAAAAAAATAAAAAAAAAAAGAAAATCATTTAAAGCCTCACACCAAATAAAGGTTTTAAACCCTTTCTTTTTTTATTCTTTTTAAAATTCTCCAAAAAGAGAATTCCCTTCTCTCTTTTATTTTCTCCAAAAATGGAATATCCAGCAATTCAAACAAATTAAATATTAAATTTTATATAAAAATTAAATAATTCCAACACTTAAATTAATTTTTTGGAAGAAAAAGAAGTTTTTTTTCTTCAGTTTTTAGCCTTTTTTCTTCCTTTTTAAATTTTATTAAAATTTTCTTCCTCATTAATTTTTAATTTAAAAGAGATCTCTTTTAGTATAGTCCTTTTAAAGCTTTTATTAATTACAGATTTTAATTTAATATTTCATTTATTAAATTTTTCTTTAAATTTTTAAATTTTACTCCTTATTAACTTTAAAAAATTTAATTAAAAAATGTTTTTTATTAAAAAAAATTTTTTTTGTTTTCTATTTTAAGCAAGAAATTCTTTTTACCAAAGAAAAAGCTGATTTTCAATCATACCCTTAATTGACTGACTAAATATTCATTGAATGATTAATAAATACCTAATAAATATTTTTAAACTTGGGGGTGATGCAGAAAATGAAAAAGAGTTCTGGGCTGTCCCCAAATTTGGATTCATCTATAACTCCAAAACCCAGAACGAGGTCCAAATAGGGTCCCAAAACAATATTTAGCTGTTATTATTATTGTCATTGTTTGGAACATTCTTCCTTTAGAAAAACTTCCACCTTCATTTTTTCACCTATGAACTCAAAAAAATCTCCACTGTTCCAAAGCAAGGTTTAACAAGGTCCAAACAAGGTCCCAAAACAATGTTTAACTGTTATAACTTCTTATACATAAATATTTGGAACCTTCTAAAACTTTCATCATTATTCTTTTTTCAATTTACTCTCGGGTTTCTTTTAATCATTTTAACAAAAAAATATTATTTTTATAACAATAATAATTATTATTTATTGCGTCAACTTACTCCCCTTTATTATTCAACATTTTTTCTTTTCCTTTCTTTTTTCGTCATCCAGGTTTCCGTGTCAGATACGCGCGCAATACTCTATGTATATATTTTATTTTTTTAATACAATTTAAAAAAACTGCGCAAAAAAATATATTTAACTGCTCCTTTCAAAGAATATAATTTTTGTTGTCCGTCTTCCCGTACCATTCATTGACCGCCACCGTTCAAAAATTTTTGGGAGGATACTAAATCTTTAAATAATACATATTATTTTTGGAGTTTATTTGAAAAGAATTGTTTTGTAAAAATTTTTGTGTTCCTTTTTAAAGGTTTGGATTGTTTTGGTGAATTTAGGAATCTCTTTAAGATCTTAAGTCTTCATCCCCTTTTAGGGGAGTACTTATTCCTAAATAGCTTTGAAAATGTCCAAAATCAACTTTTAAATTATTTGAAGGATTTTAAATTACCGTAAATATCCTAATAGAAGCCCATCCCCTATTATAAGCCCACCCGATGGGGGTATTGAAAAATACAAGTCCAGGGCTTCTATTAGGATATTTACGGTGTACAGAAGATTTAGAGTCTAAAAATTAACATTTTTAAATTTAAGTAGATCCCCAAAGCATTGTTTAATTCAACTTTTTGTTAGTCTCCATTATTCTTATGAAATCAAAAAATTTTCTCAAATAATTTCGAAAGTCTAATAATTTAAATAATTAACAACTTCCTTCTTCTTATTAACATAAAACAATAGCAAATACATAAAATACATTAAATAAACTAATTATTATTTGTAATTTGTACATTGTCCTTATATTTTTTTCCTTCCATTATTCCGTAAATTTTCCATACAAACAATAAAATAAATTCTTTTTTTTTTTCAAGCCCTCCACTAAACAATTCCTCTCTTTTTTCTTTATTTCTCTCCCTTTTTTCTCCTTTTATGTCGGTATCACGCCCAATCTTTATATTTTTTTAATATTTTGAGAGAGTGAATATCGATTAAGACAACCACCGATTTGCCCTTCCTCTGCCCTTTACGAAATAAATATTTTAAAAGTGCTTTTATTCAAATCCTTTTTTCCCTTTAAAGTCCATTTAAGTGCATTTCTAAATTATTTTTTAAGAGATTTTAATAAGTTAACAACTTAAATAATAAATAAAAACATTGTTTTTGATCAAACAAAGGGCCGTAAATTTGAATTTTTTAATTTAAATATTTTTGGCGTTTTGTATTTTTTTTTGAAAATGGTAATTAAATTAGAGATAATGGGAAAATAAGAGAGTTTTCTCTAATTATTTGTTTAAAATTTTTAAAATTTAATTTTCTACTTTATTTTTTTATTATTTGATTGGATTCTGTCATGATTTTAATTAATTTTTTTAATTTTCAGATATTCATAATTCATTTTTTAACTTATTCGAAAGCGTTTTGTTGCGCTAATTGACTAAGAAAGTTTGAGAAACTAAAAGCTTTTAACAAATTAAAAACAACAACAACAAAAAATGAGTCGCGGCACAAAGCAATTACCGCAAAATGGAAATTCTTCAAACCAACAATCACCACAAAGCAGTGTTCGGAGAGGAAACAAAACTTTGGGGTGGTATATGAGTGGTTTGGATGCTTTGGATGGAGGGAAGAAGGAAGGTAAGGAAGAGAGATTTTTTTGGGTTTTATAAGGTAAAGCCCTTTTAAGAATTTTAATGATTCAGTCAAAGGCTAGGAATATTTTTCTTTCAATGTCTTTAAATATTCTTTTAAATTTTAGTCTTAAAAATCATTTAAAAAATATTTAAGTATTCTCCCCCAACCAATTTATTCAACAATTTGTCATAAAATTCCAAAGAGTGTTTATTTCTCTCTGTTATTTCCCTTCAATGAATCATCCCCCCAATTCTCTTCCCCCAAACAGTATTATTCACTCTCGTTATTTGGCCTTTCCCCCCTTTTATTCCTCACTTTGATGACTAAAACAAAAAATTTCGAAACGCTTTTGCTTTACTTTTCCGGCTGTAAAGAACAGAGGAATGAACACTTGGGGAGGGTTTTTAATAAATAAAGAGGAATTGTCATCTAAATATCCAAGTGTTTTTTTGTTGTAAAAAAATATTTTTATATTTAAAATTTATTTTTAAATAAAGAAAATATTTTTTTTGAAAAAAATATTATTCTTTTTTTATCACAAACAATAAAAAAAAATTTTTTTTGTTTATGATTACAAGAATAACAAACAAAATTGATGATTATTTTTTTTGGTCCTTTTGATAATAAAAAATCTTTTTTGGTGTTAGGATTGAAGCCAAAATACTTAATAAAAAAATAAATTTTTAATTTCTAATTTTTAGTCAATTTACTAAAAATATTTTAAAAATAACACAAAAATATGTGTTATTTCCCCAAATTTCATTTCTTATTTTTTTTTCTTCTCATTGAGAGTTTTTGTTTATTTAATTACATATGATTATAACTCTATAGACATTTAAATTTTATTTTTTAATTTTTTATCTATCCTTTTCTTTAATTTCATAATTCTTAGTCTTTATTTCTTAATCTAAAAAATGAGGAAATTAATTTTATATATTTTTAATATTTTGACATTTTCTTACCAAAATAATTAAAATTTTTAAAGTTTTTTTTGGATTAATTAGCTTAAATCCTTAAACATTTTTTTCTATTTCTTGTTATTTTCTTTAAAAAATTTTTTTCACGTATTATTTACCTGCCTAGACTCTCTTAAATATTACCTTACCTCTCCCTTCCCTTCAAATTTTATTAAAAAATTTTTTTAATTTAGTTAATAAATCACAACAGCAACATATGGTCGCTCAACGCAAAGCATCTCTTCAAGATGCAACAACAAAATCAGCAGTAAATAATGAAATAGAGGATCAACGCAAAGCTCGTTCTAAACAACGTTTTGTTGGAAATCAAATTAATGGAGGTCGACAGAGGGCAAATTCTTCCTCTTTGTGTGCTCCAAAATCGACACCAGCTAGAAGACAACAAACTAGCGGTTTGACAATTTTTTTTATTTTTTAAAAAATATTTTTGTTAATTTAGGTCAGTCTGTTGGGTCGAAAGAACAAATTGATGTGAAAAAGGCAAATGCTAAATTTCTGAGTGGCAAAGAGAATTATTGGTAATTCTTTTTTATTTTTGGGATTGAAGAGGGCTGTTCAAATTTTCTTTATTTTAGGGTCTAGTTGCTTTCTTTAATCCTTTAAATATTTAAAAAAATTCTAATAAATTAAAATTTAAAGGTATTATGATCATGTAAGTAATGGTTATTATTATGAACATAACGGCACTCGTGGTTGGCGTAAAAATAATCCAAAAATGGAGAATTTACTTCGAGGAATGGAAGAAGCACAAAAATTGGAACAACAAAAAATTCTTAAACAAAAGAAAGAACAACAATCTTTACTCGATTGTAGAAATAATTTGCCTTCTTTATTAAATAGCCAACAATTGTCGAAATTAATTCCACAAGCAACAATGTCTTCTACAAATACAGCAACATCTAATGCTTTTAATAATTCTCCAATGGCGATTAAGTAAAATTTAATTTTTATTTTTTTTTAAAATTTGTTGGGGTTTGAGGGGTATTTTTATTTATTTTTTGACTTGCGGATTTTTTTGAGTCCGCAAATATTTTTTTGAGAAGAATTTCTATTCATTTCTCCCTCTTTTTTTGCAATTTCTCCTTATAGATTATTTATTTAAAGATATTATGACAATGATGGCTATTTTTATGAGATGGGATCTGTTGATGGATGGCGTCGTCGTCCACCAGGTGCAACCCCACCAGGTGCTACTTCTCCATTTCAAAAAAAAAGAGGTGGAGGAAATGTCAATATGTCTGCCACACAAATATATGACCAGCAAACACCGCGTCGAAAACCATTGGTTTTTTTAAAAAAATTTTTTTGAAAATAATTTTCCTTTTTTTGTAGCATTATCAATCATATCAACAACCAGCTCCACATTTGGGGGGTTTAGATTTGCAAGAAGTTGCTGCAGCAGTTGCTATTGCTCAACAACAAAATATTAATCACCAACAGAATAATTGTTGTGGTGGGGGGTCAGTTGCATGTTGCTGTCTTACAGCAGCAATAGCTGCTCAATTGGTTTTGAAACAACAACAACAAATGATGGCTGCTAACAATAAAAGAGAAAATAAGATGAAATGTTCTTCTGGTATTAAATTTTTTTTTGAATTTTTTCAAAAAAAATTTTTTTTTAAGATATTCACTCATTGATTGAGGATTCAATAACCAAAACACATGATTTTTCTGAATTAAACACACAAGCAGCGCTTAAACGTTTGGCTGGAAATATTTCTCAACCCATCTCTTTGGGCACAAATTGGCAAGTTCCATCACAACGTTCAAAATGGAGTTCGCCTATTAATGAAGAAAAGACTACTCCAACAACAATAACTGGAAGTGGTAATGGTTTAGTTGTTGGATCGTTTGAAGAACCATACGAATTTTATTGGAGTGGAGATGAAGGAAATAATAACAACAATACAACAACAGCAATTACAACACATACAGCAGCTTCAATATCTTCTGTAGAGGATGATCCTGCTGATGAATTGGGAATTGAGGCAAATGCTTTACTTCAACAGAAACGTCCTTCTATTGCGCCAATTGGAAGTGAAGCTTTTGCAGCACAAGAAGCGAAGAGAGCTAGTTTGGGATGTGTTGTGACTACAATGGGGACGACTAAATGTAACAATACAAATGTGACGAAGAGACCAGATAGTTTGAGGTAAGAAATGTGGGGAATAAGTCTGGGGACAATATCTTTTCAATCCCTCTTACGGGGCAGAATTAATATTTTTTGGATTCATAAGTGGGAGGTTTCTTATTTAATATACACCTTGAAAAACAGACAATATTTTTATTCTTTTATTTTTAGATTGGCTCCGAAAACAATTCCATCTGCTTACGAATCAATTAGTCCTGGTGAAATTCTTCGTAAGAATAACAACAACAACTTTGGTGGTGAATCCCAGCCTTCTCAACGTGATTTTGATGTTGACAAATTTATTGCTGACAGTATTCCAATGCCACTTGAACCTGAACGTTTATTAAATTCTTTGAGAAATCCTCAACGAACTCCACATGGACCACTTGTAATGCCGCATTCTTTTATGAATAACAACAACAACAATACTAATGAACCGATTACTGCTGATTCTCCTCTTTTTACTCCAATATTGCCTGGAAAGAATCCGTGGTCATCTACATACAGGACTTCCCATGCAAATCCTTGGGCATATCCTTAGTGTGGATGTTTTGTGTTAGATTGAGAAAAAAATATTTTTTGAATTGAAACAACAACAAAAAAGCGTAGATTTTTAGGACGAAAAATCCCTTTGAACAAAAAATTATTCACAGATATTCCAACTCTACTAATTATGTGTACTTTTAGTTTTTAGACATATTCCTCTCTACTAATGTAAAATTCTTTTAAAAATATATGGTCAAATTTTGAGAGTTTTTTGGTTAAATACATCTATAGGTTGCCTACCTTTAGTAGAAAAAATTGGTTGATTTTTTTTCAGATAACATTTTTGAGTGGAAAAATAAACTATTTTTGATTTTAGAGAATTTAGGGGCTCTAAGTAAATTTTGTTAAAATACTTTGGATAGCTGAACTAGGAATAATTGATAAAAACTATTTATTTGACCATATATTTTTAAGGTATTTTCTCTTTTTAGAAAACTAAAAAAAGGAAAGGATAATTTACCACCAACTATCACAAACAAATCGTCCAGTTTTCCATCTTTCATTTTGTTAGCGCCATCTTTAAATTTTTTTTGTTTTATTATTAGCGGTGTTGTGCTATATATTAGTTATAAAATAACCCTTCAGATTTAGGGTTTTTCTCTTCTTTTTTTTTCAAAAATTTTAAGAAAAGCTTATTATAATTCTGTTGTTTTCCTTTACATACATTCATTTCATTCTTCTATATATTTATTTATCATTACTCTCCCTCTCTCCTCTATATCCCCCTTAAATTCTTTATCCATATATTTATTCCGTCCCCATTTTTTGCATTTTTTTAAATGAAAAAAACACCGATTTTGTTGTGTGTGTTGTAGTTTTAGTTAAAAAATATATATTTATTTATCAATGTTGTCAAAACCCGGGGAATTTTCTTTTAAAATTATTATATATTTTGAATGTTTTTTTGATAAAGAAAGAAAAAATATGTAGTTTAGTTTTGTTTTTAATTGAAATTAGGGTTCAAATGTTGATGACAGACACTCATTTCTCCAAAAAAAGTATTTTGAGAAAGTATGCGAAAATTAGAAAATAACGAGAAATCAGAATTTCTTCGTGTCAATCAATTGAACCCTAAATAGAAATTAAAGTAAAAATTTATAAATTTTTGAGAAATATCGAGAGAATTAGAAAAAATTTGACTTTTAATTTTACTAAAAATTTAAAATTAATTCTTATACGGTCAACTCTTGTTTGAATTAATCAGTAAGGTTGTCGGATCCGGATTCGAAAAAGGGCCTGATATCCGGAGATTTTCGGTTCGGATACCGGATCCGGATATCCGAAGATTCCAGCTATCCGACAACCTTATTAATCAGTCCATCAATAAATGTATTCCTTAAAGTTTTTGTAATTGGAGTTGACTGTAAAACATTAAATATTTTTTGTTGTGGTCTATTATTAACATTTCCAAAATTTTTGCACAATATAGAGAATAACAGTTATGTTTTATTATTTATTTGTTTTCTAGGCTATCAGCCATTATTTGCTTTAGTTTTAAATTAACCCTTTTTTCTATCTTAGCCCAGTATTATGTGCCTTTTCTTCTTGCTTTGAATATTCCTCATATTTTTTTAGCTTTCTTTTGGGCCTAATTTATTTTTCTTTTTCTTCTTTTATCATTCTTCGTATCAGCCATTCTTCCCAAAAAAAGTTTTTTTTGGTTAAAATTAATTTTATAAGTTTTGAGAAATTTTTTTAGAAATTAATTTGAGGTTTTTGATATTTTTTTAAACTTTTAGTCAATAAAAATTTATTTTTTCTAGCAAAATTAAAAAAATACAGAATTAATTTTAACCAAAAAAAACTTTTTAATTGAAAACGGACGAAATTAGAATTAATATAATTTTCCTCCAAAAATATACCAATATTCCTTTCCTCAATATCCAAAAACATAACCAAAACACAAATATATATTTGTCTGTTCATATCTGTAGAAACATTACTTTTTATTATTTACAAATTAGGAAAAATACATACGTATCAGAAAATTATGTATTTACTTTTTTAGTTATGAGAATAAAACAGATATATTGTAGTTTTATTAATTTTTTGAACAGAGGTTTTTGAATGAGTCTGATTTTTTCCCTGTAAACGTTTCAACAGAAACACATATTTTTGAACTATCCAGTTTACAAAAGGAGGATCGTCATCCTATTGCAAATTTTGCGGGTTTTTGTGGTATTAAACTTTGATTTTCCGGGTGGTTTTTCAGGATATTTTACTTATTCTAATTTTACTGTCCTAGTTGAAAAACGCCAAAAATTAAAGGATTTATTATCACAAGAAAAACAAAAATGAGATGGATAGAAAATAAATATTATACATAAATATCAAGCACATATACAATATACAACAGAAATATCTATTTATCACAAATATTTTTTTCGCTTCAGTTGATTCCAAAGAGTCAGATTATTAGCCAAAGATAAGGAACCAGCAAATAGCCAACCAACAACACAAGCACCAGCACAGCTTATTCTGCAAAATGAGAAAATTATTTTCTAAAAATTTGTTTGTCAAGCATTACGTTGTGGATTCGGTTCCGGTTCCATTCCAAGCAGGAAGCGCTCACTTGGAGACAGAACTCGTTCCTCGTGTTGGGAATGTCCTTCAACACTTTCAAGCATCTCGCCAGTAACGAATTTCCCATCCATCCTTTGGACCATCAGCTTTCTTTCCGCGCGGCACAATCGGTGGAAGCAACGATATATCGTCAAATGATCAACAATTTCCATCCCGTGAGAGAGTCCAACGAGCTTTTTACAAATTCTTTGCGGTGTCCAACCAGAGATGTGCCAAAACGGTCGCATTTCCCTCAGAGCGTTCTGGTAGGCGTCTTCATTGTCGAAGAATTGTGGAATATCCGTCCAGTGTACGTTACCGATTGCCCTATAATTAGTAATAGTTAATTAGCTAAATGATAAAACAAAATTAGCAAAATATTTAAACAAACATTATATGGAGTAGCAGCAAGCACGGTGAACAGAAGTGAATTGATCAAGTGGTGATTAAAAATTAGGGAATTAACGTTGTTTTTATAACAGAAAAATGGGCAGTGGAGATAAGGATAATCAAAATTTAAACAAAAATATTTGAGAATAAAAGAGTGGGGGGGGGATGTCTATTCTGTGTTTAATCCATTCAACATAAACTCCCATTAGTTCTAAAAACTTATTTAGCAAATCCAAATAGCAGTTTATTTATTTTAACATTCAATCTATTCCAAATAAATTAGGTGTATATAAATAATTTTTAAAAATTTCAATTTTTTTTGTAAATATGTAGGTGTTTATTAACCTTAAACACCTTCAAGTTTAGTTTAAAATTACAAAATTATATATAATATTAAAAACAAATATAATTTACAAATTTATAAATTAATATTTAAATAAAAAATATTCAAATATTTTTTAAATTAACAATTAATTAATTATTCCTTTACTTTTGCCAAAAATTTAATACAAACGTCTCTATTTATTGGAAGTCCTTTGTCATTCTTTTCCGCATCAGGATTTATTAAAAGCCAATTTACCTAATTAATAATTAATTAAATATATATTTTAAAAAACCTGTAAATCAACAATTGGATATTCTTGTAAAAGAAGAACCTAAATAAATAATTTAATTGAAATTAATTGCTTTTTCTGACCAAATATGTATGAGTTAACTAATTAAAAAATTTAAATTCCACTAAGGAAATTATTTAGGCGTGATTTTGGAAATTAAAGCATTTTTAGTATTATTTATCGAATATATAACAAAAATTTACAGAATATTTTAGTCATCTAATTAACGGATGCTCTCAAATAAATTTTTATATGTTTCCTCTAAATAATACCTAGCCTTAATGTAAATTAAGGCTAGGTATTATTTAGAGGATATTTGAAAAACCTACAGTTTGTTTATACCAATATATTTTGTTTGCCATTAAAGGACAAGTTATATTACTTTCAATACAAGCATCTTCTAAATTATATATAACTTTATTTATTTTTTTAATTAAAATAAAAACCGTTATCAACATGAAAACGGGTTAAAGCGCCATGAGCATCTCCAAGGTGGGCCTTAATTTTGTAAATTAAAAATGGACATTTGATTTTTGCTAGGAGAACACAATAATTCTGAGTTAATTTTATTTTACTGTTCAGAGTAATAAGCGGTGTTTGGAAGCTTTTACAGAAACTCGTACTTGTAAATGAGTACGAGGGAATTTTAAATTTCCAAACACTTGTAATGAGAGGATTTCCTCATAAAAAATTAATAATTAATTAATTAACTTACCCAAACCAAAGTTTTTAAATTATCCACTTTTTTGTCAGGTTTGAATCCAATTTGTAAAGAATATTCTTTCCCACGTTTAAATTCACAACGTTCACTTTTATCGCATTCAGTTATTCCAACAGAAATTATTTCAAAATTGGATTCTTTAAGAAATATTTTTTTTTAGAAAATCTTCAGTAAATTTTTAGACTTTAATTCCCAATATTCTCATATAAAATTCAAAAAAATTTTTTTGAATTTTTTAAAATTTTAAATAAATTATTTACTTACTACAATTTTTGTAAATAATTGGATTAAAAAAAGAATTATTATTATTTCCCTCAATTAAATTGTAGAAAATAAAAAAATAAATTAAATTAATTTTTAAATAATACATTTTAATTAATTAAAAGCCAATGATTAAAAGCATCTAAAAATATTTTGTTACAAATAAATTGAAGAAGAGCAACAACAACTGACATTTTCTCTTTTGTTTATTTATTCTGTCAACATTTTCTGATTAATCTTTTATCTTTTAAAATTAAAAAAGGGAAATTGATATAAACGACTGTAAGGGGGTTTTAATAGGGTGTAAAATTCTAAGCAGAATTTTAATAAAGGGGGAAAAGGGGAACTGTCGAAACCCGGAGGTTTCGAATAAAAATAAAGCCTAAACTCAAATTACTCAAAAAGGGATTTAACATTTTATCTCTTTATTCCAAAATAATTTATCAATTAACAAATATCATCAAAATAGTATATAAATCAAAATATTATCATTTATCTTTATAAAACGGGTAGAAGGAGAAACAAAACAGAAAAAATCTCTTTTAACGGGGAGAAGAAATAACTGGCTGGAAGGAATATGTAAAGGAAGTTCAAAAACTGAGCCAAAACTGCTCAAATTTCCATTTATATATTCGGGTTGGGAGGTGCAAAAAGAAGGAGGTGTTTGCACATTTTCATTCAAAATTAGCTGGCCAAAATAACCCGTGCAAAGGGTTGCAAAGATAGAACGATAGGGAAGAGAAAGGACATTTTTCAGACAGGATCAAAATACACAAAAAATACAAAAGAGCTTTTCCTAGTTAAATTGAGCGGGCCAGAGATTTAAAAGAATGGGGAGAAAAAAGAGCAGGGACCAAACGGTTAATGTGCAAAATTCAAAAAAAGCCTTTTGGCCCGCCATAATTAACATTTTTTGAGCGGGCTTAAAAATATAGACAAAAATATATGGACAAAATTTCGGCCAAAGTTTAATAATTAAAAATATATTTTCAAATCTAAAAGATTTGACATTCGGGAGAAACCCAAAAAAAAAATTTAGATGACGGCGTAGGGGAGATACGGGAATATGGTATTAGATTAAGGTGCAGGGATGGGTGGAGGGGGTACGTTTTAAATTTAATAATTTTACGACATTGATCCATCTATCTTTTTTCTTTATCTTCCTTCTTTCAAAACATTCAACTTCTTGGTAGAGGGCTATCAACATATTCTCCAATTGATTATTATTTCCCTTTAAATTCATTCCATAGTCCATGCCATACATATTGTCGGGATAAGAATCGTTGAGAAAGGAGAGTAAATTTTGGGAATTAGTTTTTACATTTAAATCTATTATTACCGTTTTGGATGCCACTTGTAGTTAGATGAGGAGGAACGGAAGTTTCAGTAAAATCCATAGCATATTGTGTATTAGTCCATTTAGTCCAAAGCATATTGAGCCAGAGCAACAATTAATGGGATTTTTCAACAGAAGGAATATAAATGATTTAAAAAGATGGTATCGGTGGGAATTGGGCTTATAGTTTATATTCATAAATTCAATCTCGATACTGGGGGAGAATTCAGGAGTAAAGGTATTTGTTGAGGGAGGGCTCTTTAATATTCTAGGGACAGAGCTGTTATAATCTTCGGAAAAATCATTTTTATTTAATACAAAAGAAAAGGGACAGGGAAGTATTGAATTCTTATCTGAGTCATTCTCGGTTTCGTATTTCGGTTCGATGAGGGGATACTTGATTTCATCTAATGGGGGATTTCCAAAATCTATAATATATATCCGAGGAATATTGGCAAGGGGTGGCGATTTAATTTCATAAATACTTGGTGGCTTTCGGGCTTTTAATTTTAACAATTTACTTTTAAAATTGCGGGACAAAAAGGGATTATCTTTAACAAAATCTTCAGACAATGATGTCATACTTTTAAAGTCGAAATTTCGCAAATTTACCATTTTCTTTGTTGTTACTTCTTTGGAGGAAGGGTTATTATCTCTCGTAAAGGTTTCAATGGGTAAGGTCACATTATTACAGTAAGTATGAGTATTAAACGAGTCAGGACTTTTGGCTGGGGCTCTGGTGTCGTTGATTGTATTAAAAGGTTGTTTGTTTAATCCAACAGATTTTTCTTCTTCAAAACTCACATTTATAATTTGGGTAGTTAATACAATTTCTTCACAATTACTAATGTTGTCTATTACTTCATTTCCTTCCAATATATCTTCTGATGTAGAAGTCGAATGTTGTGTATTATTGGAGCAGATAATGGGGTGAGATAATGGGGGAATATCTGGAGGGGAGGTACTGATCAGAAAAGGGGTTGATTCTTCCGAGTTAATGTGTATTTCTTCATATTTTTCATTTATAAGTTTTGGTAATTGGATTATTTCTTCACTCATCTGATTGTTTAAATCGTTAGGATTCTTTTCAACATTTATTTCTTCTAGAGGGGAAAAACCAGGAGGGATAGCAAGTGGGTTAAATTTATTCATTTTATTACTATTTGAACAATTGGTTTCATTAAAATAGCTCTCAGGGACTATTGGGTGTTGAGGTGAATAAAATGTGTTTGGCTTGGATTTAGTCGGATATGCCAGAGTTGGCGCCTCTTCTTGCGTAACGGGTGAAAGAGAAAATTGTCCCTTAGCTGGGGGATTTAAAAACAAATTAGATTGTATAGGTGGCCGGTTTCGATAAGAATTAACCATAGTATTTGCATAAACTGATTTTAATGAGGTTTGAGTATTTTCATTGAATTGCCTATTCTGTGAAGGGTTTAAAGGAGGAAGTTCAGGAAGGAGATGGGAATGGTCGAATTGGGGTTTAACTTTAGGTTGGTTACTTTCTAATTCATTACGGGAATTCCGAAGCCTTCGTGCATACCGTTTAAGGTCGTACATAATTTTTATATAATTTGTTTCTTGGAGGAATTTCTCTAAAATTTGGCTATCATTTGCCCTTTCATTTTCTGACATTGAAATTCTTAACTTTTGCCATGAATCGTTGGCCATTTTAAAATCATTTAGGATTTTGGTGATCTCTTGGGAAGTAAGGTCTATTTCATTAATTAAGGCCTGAGTAGATTCGAGAGACTGGGTTTTAAAATTATCATAATCTTCTATAAGGGCAGAGAACGGGCTAGGGAGAAGTATTTCTTTTGTAATGGAACAGAGCTGGTACAATTGGTTTCTATAAGTTAGGGACATTCCTTTGAAACAAATAAATAATCCGGACTTTTTATAATCCAATAAATATAAACTTTTAATTATTAAAGAAATTAACAAATTATATCAAGAAAGAATTTCTTTTCGAAAATGGTAGATAAAAAATCGGTCCCGGGTGGTCACCGGCTGAGCTGTAAAATTCTAAGCAGAATTTTAATAAAGGGGGAAAAGGGGAACTGTCGAAACCCGGAGGTTTCGAATAAAAATAAAGCCTAAACTCAAATTACTCAAAAAGGGATTTAACATTTTATCTCTTTATTCCAAAATAATTTATCAATTAACAAATATCATCAAAATAGTATATAAATCAAAATATTATCATTTATCTTTATAAAACGGGTAGAAGGAGAAACAAAACAGAAAAAATCTCTTTTAACGGGGAGAAGAAATAACTGGCTGGAAGGAATATGTAAAGGAAGTTCAAAAACTGAGCCAAAACTGCTCAAATTTCCATTTATATATTCGGGTTGGGAGGTGCAAAAAGAAGGAGGTGTTTGCACATTTTCATTCAAAATTAGCTGGCCAAAATAACCCGTGCAAAGGGTTGCAAAGATAGAACGATAGGGAAGAGAAAGGACATTTTTCAGACAGGATCAAAATACACAAAAAATACAAAAGAGCTTTTCCTAGTTAAATTGAGCGGGCCAGAGATTTAAAAGAATGGGGAGAAAAAAGAGCAGGGACCAAACGGTTAATGTGCAAAATTCAAAAAAAGCCTTTTGGCCCGCCATAATTAACATTTTTTGAGCGGGCTTAAAAATATAGACAAAAATATATGGACAAAATTTCGGCCAAAGTTTAATAATTAAAAATATATTTTCAAATCTAAAAGATTTGACAAGGGAGTGGAAGATATATACTAGAGATCGAGTTGGGTCTGGAGCAAGTCCTGGGGTTTTCCTGTACGAGAGTCCAGGCCCAGGCATTTTTTGACCTTTCTGGGGTTTTCCAGGGTTTGGGTTTTTCTTGGACTACAGTCCCAGGATCCGGCTTAGGCCAATAAATCAAACCCAAAGCCCAGGAGCGGGTCCAGGCTTTTCAAAAATCTCATCTCTAATATATACATATTTAATTGGGATTATAATTGACAATAATCAACTCTCGAATTTACATTCAAGCAAGGTTTTGTAATTTTTGTTTCGAGACAGACTGAGGAAAGGATCTAATTTTGGAAAAATTTTTATTTTAATTTTAAATAAACAAGCAACTTTAAAATGCTAAATTAAAACGGGATGAATTAATTTATTGTAGAAAATTATTTAATTTTTTATAGCCCAATTTTAATTATTAATTTCATTCAAAATATTTTGGCTCTTGTCCAGTTTATGCGTCCCATGAATGTATATGCGTCCCATCAACAAAAAATTGAATATTTCTTGGTGTTGCAAAGTAGGGGTATGGTTCCAAAGCATTTGTTCATGTTCGGGATCTACGTCCACTGGGTCTGGGACCGTTCTTTACCCTATACCTCGAAATTTCTGAAAGTTAAAATCGTTTTTCTGAAATTTTTAAAAATTGGCTATAACTTTCAGAAATTTCGAGGTATAGGGTAAAGAACGGTCCCAGACCCAGTGGACGTAGATCCCGAACATGAACAAATGCTTTAGAACCATACCCCTACTTTGCAACACCAAGAAATATCCAATTTTTTGTTGATGGGACGCATATACTTTCATGGGACGCATAAACTGGACAAGAGCCAATATTTTTTATTTAATTATTCTTAAATTTATCATTTTAATTAAAAAATATATTTAGTCTTAAAATAATAATTTCTCTGACTTCAATCAGTTTTTGTTAGAAAGAAAAAAGGAAGAAAATTTTTTTAGAATTTATCCTTCATGAAAACGGCTGTTTTTTAAACACAAAAACATTTGTTTCAATAAATCGATTAGGGATATTCTTTTTTTCCCCAAAAATTATTATTTGAAAAATAATTAAAAATAAACTTCCTATCTAATAATAACACCCTCTCTTTAAGGAAAAAATGGTAAAATTTGGTTCAAGTTTTGAATTATCATTTCGTCGTTCAATATTTTCTTTAATTCTTTTATTTATTTATTTAATTATTTCTACTTTAATTATTTCTTTAATTGGACAATTTGAATTATTAAAAAGTGGAAATTTAAATAAATTATGTAAAGGAAGGAAAGAAATACAGAGAGGAAGACGTTTAGATTTTGAGAGAAATGAATTACTTAATACACTTTGGGCTGATTCTTTGGCTGTTAGAACTGGTTAGCAGAAAAATTTTTTTTTGAAATTAATTTCCAACGAAAGGATCTTGTAAAAAGTGTAAAAAGAAAATTAAGGAAAAATTTGGGAGAAGAACATCCCAACCCTTCAGTTTTTCCTTTTTTTATCGATAAGATAAAAAATCAGAAAGTATACTACTGATTTTTCGGTTCTGGATCTGCGAAACATCTAACTAACTAAAAATTAAATTAATAAAAGGTATTTTAAGTATCTACATAATTATATAATTGAGAAAGGTTGTGTCTGGTAGAAAAGTGGGGGTTTACATTAAAATGTTTTGAAGCAGGGAGGAAATGGAGGCTTTAAGGAATGGGGGCTTTAAATGGGGCTTTAAGGAAAAGCTTTCCAACTTGGAATGTTATTCCCATCAGGCGGATATTCTGACCTGTGCCAAGCCAGTTGCTTTTGGGGCTTCCTGTGCCTAGTCTCACTGTTGGAACTCAAAGTTCCTATGCCAAGTCGTCATTTGCGAAGGGCTGTGTGTAATTAAATTTTATTTTCCATTTTCAAAAGTTAATCTACATTTTTTATTATTAAGAAATATCTCTCAATAAGGCACTTAGTCACTTAATAAGTGCAGATTAAGAAATTATCGACAAGTGCCTGTCGCATCGCTTTAGAGATATTTCTTAATAAAATATTTGTTTATTTTACATTTTCCTTTATTAGTTGCCAGTTGTTTAAAAGTCTGATTAAAAAGTCTGAAAAACTTGGACAATTTTAACACAATCATATTTTATTTTACTTCACTGCCTTTATATTTATTTATTTTAAATACATAATTATTTAAATATTTATTTTTTGATTTTAGCGGTTTCCTTTTAGATATTGAATAGCGAGAAATCTAAATTTTATAAATGTTTATTCCACTATTAATAATTTTATCACTTTTTTCAAATTCTTATGGAACTTTTGAAAGCGAATCAAAGCGAATCATTAATTTTCTAGGCCAGTTTTTTCTTTAATTTGGCTGCCCAACTTAATTCCATTAATAATCCCTTCAATTTAATTTTTTTTAGACGAGGCATCGTCTTCTGAAACAAAAAGTTTAAATCAAAAGAAAAATATGTTTGACAAGCACAGGCAGAATTTTGTAAATAAAAAATATTTGCCGTTATATGAAAACGAAATATGGTCTCCAACAGAAAACGATTTTAAAGAGTATTTAATTTAAATATAAAATAAAGTAAAGCAGCTGGGGGCTATAGCTATTTCTCTCCCTTAGCTAGTGCAAAAGGTTAATCGGCGGTTGGGTGCGAATCAGCATCTTCAATATATCAGACTGATGTTTTATCTTACACCACGCCGCCTACAGCACAGCTTTAGGAATTAAATAGTTACATACATATATGCTTTAAGATAATATAAAATAAATTAAAATAGGTATCCAAAACGAGAACAAGAATTCAAAATTGGCGAATTAGTCAAAGTAAAGAATGACAATAAATCTACAGGCAACACAGAATGGTTATCAGCAAAAATTGTAGAATTCGAAAATGAAAAGTATTTAGTTGAAATTCAAAATAAGCCTCTTTATGGCAAAATATTTACTCGATGTTCAGAAGATATTCGAAAAATTGTTGACTTTCAGATTAACGAAATAGTTGAACTATGGAATTATAAAGAATGGGTTTTAGGAAGGATATTAGGAAAAGACGAAGAGGGGATGTATATTGTTGGTATTGAAAGTGGGGAATTTTATGGGCAAATATTTAGTTGTTATCCAAATTATTTAAAAAAGCATTTTAATAAAAATGAATTGGAACATTATGAAATTGATGAAATTGTTGAGGTAATGAACATTGATAAAATAACAGGGGAGATTAAATGGATTAAAGCAAAAATATTAGAAATTAAAAGAGGAAATAATTATACTGTAAAGATTGTTGAGAAATGTAGATTGAATGGAAGTAAATTTGAAAGAAATATTTGTAATATAAGGAAATTTAAAAGTGAAAATTTTCAAGCTGGGGAAGAAGTTGAATTTTATTTTTATGATAGAATTAAAAAGAAGACTAAATGGATAAAAGCTAAAATATTACAAATTGAAGAGGGAGTTTATATTTTGAAAACGGGAACAAAAATATTACGAGAAGTTTATTCATTTAATTTAAGAAAGATTTAAGTCTGAATAGAAAAAAAAGAGAAAATCTTGTGATATTTGAAGATAATTGAATATATAAATGAAAATTTTAAAAAATTTATATAAATTGTTTTATATAGTAAATGTATTTGATAAAAATTTTTAAATGTTTATGGTTGTGTCCGCACCTGTAGAAAGCAAATAAATCGTTAAAAATAAAAAATACGGGGCAGCACGGTCTGATGATACTCTATTAATTTTAATGAATTTTCTACGGAACGAACATACCTAATACATATTTATAATTTTAATCAGTTATTTTTATTTAAAATTTTTGTTTATTACGGTCTGTCAAGAAATTATTACGGTCTGTCAAGAAATAATAAAACTAAAAATATTTGCTTTATAAAAATTGATTATGAAAATATATGTAGAAATAAAAAGAGAGAGTTTTTTTAATAAATTTAAATTTTGTGATTTTATTTAAATTATTTCAAAAATTTTAATACCACCATGTTTCTAATTCAATTTAATATTTCTATGTAAAAGTCGAAAGCCGCAATTGTTTTGTTTTGTGATGTAGAACGCCTAAGGTGTTCTTTACCGCTAGTTCTATCTATTTACAAACTGACATATTTCTTTTTTAATCTCTTTTTTGACATAAAGGATTTAAATATAATTTATGAAATTGAGTAATTAAAACAAAATTTAATTTTTTAACAATAAAATAAATTTTAGAATCTGATTGGAAACAATTAGCCAATGCAAAATTTGATTCTTACGAGAGAATAATTTTATCATCAAAAATATCCAATAATTATTGTAATAGTAGACATTCAACAATACATTTTTGGGATTTTATTTCTTCTTTACGTTTCACTTTTTTATTGATAAGTACTGTGGGTAAGTAATTATTAAATTGAAAGTGTTAAGTGTTAATTTAAAATAAAATCAAAGTATACTCATTTTAGACTGGAATTAATCCTAATTTACGATACCGCCCTCAGGACTTTGTAATCGCTTTTTAAGTTGATCATGAGAAAATACTTGTCAAATTGATAATAAAATAAATTTCCCCCTAGTGACGGCATTATAACCAAAATTGATTAATCGAAGACATAGGGGGTTATATTCTGGACTAGATATGTATTTAGATCCTAGTTTTTAAATTCGATATTTAATTTCTTTTCTAAGTTAAAACTAATTGTTTTGATTTTAGTAGCCCTAAATTAAATATCTGACAGATTCTCATTTTTAATTTTTTAATAAAATAAAAAGCCACTAATTAATTAATTAAAAATAATTAAAGGAGAATCTAATTTAAATAATCAAAAACAATTTTCTGGTCCATTAATTCAATCAACTTCAATTTTAATTTCTTTATTTGGAATTCCATTATTATTAATTCATTTGGAACATTCAATTAAAGCAATTTACGCGTTTTGTGAAGATAATTTTGAAAGGCCAAATTTGGCTATAATTTGGATATTTTTTGGAAATATTTTAATAATTACTTTAATTTTTGATATTATTTTAGAAGAAAATTTGGAATTTAATGAAAATGATATTGATGATAATGAAAAGGTAAAAACATAAAATATAGACATAAATACACTCTTTTGGATTAAATTTTTTACATAAATTTAAAGTGGATTAAAAAATTATAAGTTAAGAAATGCCAAAAATTTTAAAATAAAAATTTAATGTAAATTTGGTTGTATTGTGTGTAAATTAGAAGGCTAAATAGGAATTAGGAGCAATTCAGAATTAAACAATTCATAATCGTCCTAGTATTTTTCCTTATTTAATAGCTCCATATTTTTAAAAATTTCCTTCTTCTCTACACAACGTTTTTGGAAATTTCTCCATGCTGAAAGTAGAAGGTTTAATATTGAGGGGGACTGAGCATAAACTGGGATTAAGAATAAATTCTGACATGGTGAAGGTATGGTTATTTCTGCATTTTGTTTTAAATGCCATTGGTTGTTCGGTGATACATTAGCCTCCCTAATAATTAATTAACTTTAAAAAATAATTTTTTTTATTTTTTCAGAATTCTTTCTTTGATTTATTCTTTTCAATATTTCTATTATCCTTTACAATATTCAAAAATACAAATTTAAATAAAATACCAATTTGGTTATTCTTACCCTTCTGTTTATTTTTATTTTCTGTAAATGGATGCCTTTTAAAATATTTAATTGAATTATTACATAATTGGATGGCTCCCCACGAATTTGCTTTTGCAAATGGATTTTGTGGAAAAATTGAAAGGGCGGTTAGCGGTGTTGATATACACATTGAGGAAATTAATAATGAGGTATGAGGGTTTTAAATAATTTTCTTAAAGCTGCGAAGGATTTTCTATTAAGGTTTTTAATTGAGGCTTTTAAAAATAAATTTTTTCTTCAAAAAATATTTTTATTTATCTAGGAAGACACAAATTCTAAAAGAAATCAAAATTCTGAAAATGGGGTACCAGCAACTACTACATCCCCTCCACATTTTTCAATTGGAGGAGAGAATGAAGGGGAAATAGATCCAAACAACCCAACTACCAACCAACTTTTTGCTGCTTTATTGCGAAGAAAAAGTATTTCTACAATAGCTGAAGAAGAAGGGGAATTGCCTAATAGTCCTTAAAAATTTTCATTTTTTGTAAAATTGTTTTTAGAAAATTTTAGATATTTTTAGTTTAAATTTTAAAATAAATATATTAAATTTGCAATGGCAGATAAAATGTGGTTAAAAATTTTCGGTTCCATTTTTCGGGTCGGTTCCGAATATCCAAGGAATTTCCATGAACCAACAACTCTAGTCCTCAACAATTAGAGTTGTTGGTGGCCACAACCAAAAAATGTTTTGTAATTTCATAAACAAAAGGCAATTGGAATTAAAAAATAAATAAATATAAAAAATAAAAAAAATAAAAAAAATATTATTTTTCTCTAAATTTTTGAAATTTAACATTATTACCAAAATAATTTTATTCAGAAAGAAATTGTAAACTTAAAATTATTAAAAAACAATTATTTTAACAGTTAGTAGATAAATCAAAGCAAGATAAAATTAAATCAAAAATTCCTTCAATAATATTCGGAAACTAAATGTTTTGTAATGTCATAAACAAAAGGTTTAGTCTCCAAATCTTCTCCAAAATTTGTCTCTACTGAACAACATTTTAATAAAATATAAGGTTGATAGGAGTCACTACTATACTTTAACAATACAGCTTTGCCTTTAAAAAAAGAAAATATTTTTCCTTAAATCTAATTCCAATCATTACCAATTTGTTTCCCATTTTGGGTAAAGAAAATATAGGGAACACCTTCAGATGGATAAACCAATCCACAGCCAAATATATCCTTATTATTCCAACAAAATATTGGAAGTTTAAACATTTTATCCTCTTCATTACAAATTGAAGCAGTATGTGGACCAAATCTAATATATTTATTATCACCCCCATCCATTTTAAGTCCAATAACCGTTTCATTTATTTTTCTTTCAATTTTTATACATTTAATTTCAAAATAAAACAAAGGCCAGTTATTGGAGTTTTGTGGATTTTTGAATGAATTTTCAGCCAGAATGAAAAAAGTGTTATTTACACCTAAAATATTTTTCTATTAAATTAAAAATAAATCTTTTGGCAGTCGCTAGAGATTGGGAAAAGTAAAGATTGTATTTTGAAAATTCGAATTATTAGACTACTATAAGAAAGAACTTGGAGAGAAATAATAAGGTCTGTCAGGTTGAATATTACCCTGATTTACCAAAATATTTCATTAAATAATTTATTTATTTACCTTTCCCTTCCCCACACTTAATATAATTAATATTTCCATCATTAATTAAATTAACATATCCATTCCCTTTAGTACATTCACCAATTGTCTTGTTTGTATTTATACATTTATTTTCACAACATTTAAAATTATTATTATAAGTAAAGTCAATTTCTTTCCATTTATTTTCAATTTTAATAAAATTCTTAAAAAGCATAATAAAAGCACGAATTTTTGTACAAGGTTCAATCATTGGTTACTAATTATTAAAATAATTAAACTTACCAAAGGTTTAATCTCCTTTAATTTTTCCAAAAAAATTGTTAAATCATCATTATTTGTGTTAAATAACCCATACACCTTTTTTTAAAAAAATTAAATAAAATTAAAATATATTTGACCGGATAAAATTTTTAAAGCCCAGAATCGGGTCCGGCATTTCCCAAATTTAAACTCTAATTTTAATTTTTAAAAATTTATTTTTTAATTTTCACCTTTTTAATTTGTTCTTGCAACAAATTTATTTCCTCATCTTTTTGCTTATTCTCAGATTTTATTTTTTTAATTTTCTAAAATTTATATTAAAATTTAAATAATTAATTTAAATTTAACCTCTTTCTTTTCTTTTAATTTATTTTCAAGAAAAATATTTTTATATTCAATTATTTTCTTTTCTAACAGAAAATTATTTTCCATTTCTTTAATTTTTTCATTAAATTCTCTCTAAAATTATTTTTAAAAAATAATTAATTTAATTATCCCAAACAAACTTCTTTTAATTTATTTTCAAGTAAAAGATTTTTCTTTTCCAAATTAGAACTATTTTCTTTTTCTTCAATATATTTTATTTGAAGATTTATAAAATTATCTTGAAGTTTCATTAAATAATCGCTTTGACTTGGCTTAAACAGAAATTTTATTTTTTTTATTTTTAAAATTTTACTATTAATTCCAAATCACAATCTGATAATTCTTCTTCAGACATTTTGAAAAAATTTAATTAAGACAATTAAATTTTATTTAAAATGAAATAATAACTGTGAAAAATTAAAAAAAAAAAATTAATTAAAAATTGTAGACCTTTTTTTAATTTTATTTTTAATAATAAAAAGTTTCAATTAGAAATATGTAACTGATAGGATGGGGGTTTCAGGCCAACAAAAAAGAAGAAAAAATAAAAGGGAAAAGTCTGTTTCATATATTGCTAGACTTTTGGCCTAGAGACAATTTTTAATAAAAATAATTTTTGAGAATATTTTTGTTTGGGAAATAAATGTATTTTTTATTTGTCTTAAATAAAATAATAAAGAAATGTTTTGAAGGAATATTTTGAATTACTATTAAGTACTTTTAAAAGAATCGAAGAAGAAAAGTTTGATGGTTTATTTTGTTTCTAATCTTAATTTATGATGATTTTTTCTTTATCTTTTTTTCAAAAGATTCCTTTTAGAATTAATAAAGTTTTTCAACTTTAAATCAAAAAATAATTTAAAAAACAATTTAAACAAATTTAAATATTTTCTTCAATAACATTTTCTTCAGAAGCTTCAATTCTAGCCAAAACAGCTTTTAACGCCGGCTCTCTCAATTGTTTTTGTTTATTCCCTTCTTCGGCCCTTCTATTACGTTTTATTATATTTAAATTATTACAAATATCCTCATTTTTATTTAATTTAATAATTAATTTTGTAAATAAAAAACATCAAAACTTTTAACCCATCAACTTAAAAAATTTCTAGATTTTTTATATTTGAGGTTTCCAATCACAATAATAAATAATTAATCAACCAATTTATAAGCGTTTACTTCCAAACATTACTTGTTGCATATTTCTTAAGCTCCTTTTTTGAATTTTTTCTTCAAAAATAAAAATCTATTTTTATAGGAAGACACAAATAATTCTAAAAGAAATCAAAATTCTGAAAATGGAGTACCAGCAACTACTACATCCCCTCCACATTTTTCAATTGGAGGAGAGAATGAAGGGGAAATAGATCCAAACAACCCAACTACCAACCAACTTTTTGCTGCTTTATTGCGAAGAAAAAGTATTTCTACAATAGCTGAAGAAGAAGGAGAATTGCCTAATAGTCCTTAAACATTTTTTAATTGTTTTTTTTGTAAAATTGTTTTTTTAGAAAATTTTAGATATTTTTAGTTTGAACTCTAAAGAAATATGTATATTAAATAAAATCTATTTGCAATGGCAGATAAAATAAAGATAAAAATTTTCGGTCGTTTTTCAGTTCGGTTCCGAATATTAACTTTAAGCCTATTTAACTTTTAAAAATTTCTTGTTATGTACATAATTTTTCCTTAATCTTTTGAATTAATTAAAATTTCCCTATTTGTCATTCTATTTTTTAAATTTCTTTATTTTTGAGAAATATTTAAAAAAATACTTTTATTTATAAAACAATTGTAAAATTCAAAAAAGTTATAACGGATAGAAAATAAATCAAAGTAAAATAAAATTACTCAAAAAATCATTTAATAAAATTTCGGAATTAAATATTTCGAAATATCATACATAAAAGGTTTAGTTTCCAAATTATTTCCAAAATTCGTTTCTACAGAACAACAATTAAGTACAACATATGGTTTGAATGAGACATTATTGTCCTTTATTAACACAGCATTGCCTTTAAAAAATTATAAATTAATTTTTAATTTTTAAAATTATTACCAATTTGTTTCCCATTTTGAGTAAAGAAAATATAGGGAAAGTCTTTGGGCGGATAAATCAATCCGCAACCAAAAACATCGTTATTATTCCAACAAAATGAAGGAAGTTTAAAAGTTGTATTTTGATTAAAAATTGAAGCAAAAGCTGCACCAAATCTAATATATTCATTATCAGCACGCACTTCAAGACCAATAAACATCTTATGATTATTTACTCCTTCTATTTTTGTACATTTAATTTCAAAATAAAATAAAGAATAATTGATGCTGTTTTGTGGCTTTTTGAATGAATTTTCAGTAATAAATAAAAAATCATTATTTACACCTAAAATAGTGTATAAATCAAATTTTATAATTAATGGAGGGAGGTACATCCCTCGATGCCGCTGACAGTACTCCAAATCAATGAATGAAAAATTGCATATATTTAAAAATTGATGCAATAATTTTACGTGAAAATGCGTGAAAATGCTGCGACTTTTAGAATATTTTTCCCCATTTTTGGGGTTGGATGATGTGGATTATTCACTTTGGCTACATTTGCCTGTGATGGCACGCAGACATATCGGGATATTTCAATGTACGAACAGTTACCCTACTGATTTCGGGACCTAAGGTCACTGGGTCTTGGATAGTATATTGTCCTGTTGAGGATACAATTTTCAAAAAGGTCAAATTTTTGAAATTTTCAATTTTTATGTTTTAGAACGAACGCAAACACGCAAAAAATTATTTTTGTCACGCCAAACCCTATATGTCCACACACCGCCTGAGATACCTTAAACAGCGGTAAATTGACATACATACTCCCAACTAATATTTACCCACCCCCTCTCTTCCCCAATAAGTAGTATTTACTAGTGATGTTCGAGACTCTCGGTCTCGGTTCACGAGTCGGTAAATTTCCCGGGTTTTTTGAGCTCTCGGTCTCGATCTCGAACTCGGTGTTTTAGTCTCGGAAAACGAGACTAAATTTACACCCCTAACGACGGAAATTTTTTGAATTTTACTGTACCTCGCGTACTTTGACATTTATTTTTTAAGCAAAAGGGAAAGAAATATTTATACTTTTTCCCATTTTCTTCTTGTTGGTCGATGGTTGAGTGGTTAGGGTGACTGACTTCACACACTTAGATATTTTGATAGGAATGGGTTTGATTCTAAGCATGG